AAATTTTACACTGTACAATGGTCACTCATCACAGACCTAATCTGTAGCTAAAATATCAATATATATAGACGCATTTATAATATATATTTATATATGTAACAAATATATTAAAGATTTAATAATATTATGACGTGGTAATAAACTTAAAGCTAAGAAGTGAAATAAAGGTGTTTCATGATAAAAATGATACTATTCAGGGACAACCCCGTACAGTGTAATACTTTCGTTGGGGTAGCGCATTGCAAACAAAGAGGGCTCTTTTCACAGGGCGTACCTTAAATTGTATTTCATGCCACAAAAATTCATTTGTTATCCTCCATCTTTACTTCGAGTCTTTAAAAAGAAAAAAAAGCAATCAACTAATTTTCTGCTGGTGAAACCCTGATTGATGAAGATTGCATTTGCACAATGAACATTGTTGTACGGTTGACTTGTGACAAAATTTGACACCCTTTCATGTATCATAGCCTACTCCCTGAGAAGCTTCCAGCGCTCCTAGGAACAATACATATCCTTTCACTTAGAGCAAGTGTGCATTACCTGGCTCATAATACTTACAATATCAACTATCGGCACAGTTAGTGAACATAGGCACTTTCTCTGACTCAACTGCCATTACCCCTGAGCACTACATACAATACAGAAGCTACCAGCACTTCAAAAGATGCGCACAACTCTGTTCTGAGAACATCAAACAAAACTAAGATAGTTTAATTAACAAACAATAACATAACATATAATAAACCGTTTAAAATGCTTTCATAAAGACACTGACTACCTTGCAGAATGGTATTCATAAAAATATAATGGCAGCTGAGTCAAAAACAACAATGAAAGTTGAAAGGGTGTCAATAGTTACACTTGAGATAGCTGCCCCTGTGTAATATATCCCAAGAGTTACATAAACAAAGCACAAATCTTTTTGAATAAACTCCACAAGCACTGCACAAAGATTTTGCAGCTTTATGTAGTAAATCATAAATTATGAGATCTTTTAAAACCCATATTTAGTTCGATAACAGCAATTGCCGAATCATACTTAAGAGAAAAGAAGAGAGCCTTTCACCTCACGATATTTTGGTTAAAAATTCAATGCAACAATTTAAGAAGGACTTTTGGAAACACAAAGGGGAGGAAAAAATCACAACCTGTACTGAATCGTCATAAATGACTCTCGGCAAAATTAGCAAATGAACAGCTATGTGGTTATCACTTGAAATTTGAACACCAATAATTCTCCTGCTCCAACTCTTGCTGCACATACACTATAAAAATTTCATACAGAATAAATCACTTGTAGATAAAAATAAAAGGTAACTGTTGATTGAGTTGCATTGCGAGTATTTACAATTCCTCTGATTCTGTTCCTCCTACTAGACATAAAGTGTCATTCAAATTGGATTCAATGAATCAGAGCGAGGCTTTGACTAGTATATGAGCCAAAATGGGCCGGATACCCTAAGAAATATTTTTCTTGACACTATATTTTTCTGGGTTTTAGTTTTTCTGAAAAAAACAAAACAAAAAACAGCATGGTTTGTGAGGTGACTAGTAGATTTGATGTAAGTACAAATGTAACTGGGATCTGATAATGAAAGAACAGGCATGTTGGATCAAACCAGTTGATAAATCCAATATTACCTATGCAGTCAACAGCAATCAGTAAGATTACTTTCCCTCTTAAAGAAGAGTAAATGGGAATGTACATTTGATAAAACAGAGGCCAGAATGTTTAAATTTAAGACTCGGTTAATAAGATTGTTTGCAAAAATTAATTCAGTACGGACAAGTATAGCACATCTGCTATTTGCAGCTAGCCTGGTTTTGAGCTGCAAGTTGGCACTGTCCGTTGAAACATGATCAAGAGATCATAACACATAAATTCAAAGCAAAGGTCACAGATCAGAAATATTAAGGCTATGTAAAGGTATTGCCGATACAATGAAGTAGCCTTGATTTCTTCAATTTGCTTGTCATCTTTGCTTTGTTCAGATCACATGCATATTATTGCTGTAGTCACAGAGAATGTGTGACAGGCATCCCATGATTGGGAATTTATGAAAGCCTTGTGTCACACTTACTCTCTCTGGCAGAGGAATAAAAGCCTAGACTTTATCGCATGGTTTTCGATATCCTGCGATACTTAGATCTCTATCAGACTTTTAATGCCAATGTCGAGGTCATGAATGAGACCTGTTGCCAGATTAGGATTGTCACTCAGCCGCTGGAAGACGGCGCTCTTAGCTCAAAAGGACCAAGTCAGTACCAACACACAGTAGAATTGCTTGGAATATAATCATTATAAAAATATACTTCGAAATAGAATAGGTCTGATTATGTTCCCAAGTAGGTACTTATAAAATATACTTTCATCTTGTAAAAAAATTAAAATCTGAAAACTGATTTTAGCACAGAATGAGATTGGTTTTTAACATGAACGCTAAAGTACCATTGAAAGCCCATTACATTCTCTGAAGGTACATGTCATCAATCAATCAACAATAATAAATAATGAGACCTTTCACCCATCCATGGTGAATAAAAAATATCAAGACAGAAACACAAAAATAAAAACAATCAAAAATTTGAAACAAACAAATGGTAAAAATTGTCCGCCTTTAAAAATTAAAAATATGGAACGGCGCTGGCTAAAATGATGATGATGGATCTTCATGTGGATGTCGGTGGCTCGATACACTGTCCATCGTATGTGATTGGCAGGTGACACTGGTCGAAGGGGGCGAGGCGCGTGGCCGGGCATGAATAAGGTGGCCGGTACAACATCTTCTCTATCCAGCCTGGGGGACCGAGGCCGAGGCTGTGGGCAGTGAGTTCAGCATGGCTCCGGGGCTGACGGGCACGGCGTGAGGGCGGGGCGGGGCGGGGCCGGTACGGGCTAGCACCGGAACACCGCCGCGGCCGAGCGCACCCTCACCAACACCGGGGCGGTCAGGGCGGCCCCATCGTCAACAACCCCGCTCAAGAAGACCCCGACGTGCCGGAGGTCTCTTAGAAGAGGCTAGCGACGGGGGCCGCCGTGGGGCATGCCCTGCAGAGCACGGCGGGCAGGAGGGAAGGCACGGGCAAGCCTAGTCGCCAAAGCGCGTGCACGCCTTCTTCCACTTGCACTGCGTGCACCACTGGTCCCGGTGCTCCATGCCGTACACCTTCCGGCACTTCTTGGTGTCGCCGCGCACCTTGCGCGTCGGGGACCCGGGCACCTTGTACGCCGTGCCCGGCGCGGACACGGACAGCACCGGCTGGTAGGGACAGCTGCCCGAGCGCGGGGACAGCTTGAGGTGCTTCAGCGGGGACGTCTGCAAAGCAACGGACAGCATGAGCATGGTGCACGGCGAACACCCAGGACTACCCAGGGCGAACCGATCAGTACGCACCTTTATGCTGACGGGTGAGGTGGCCGCTGAGGCCGAGCTGGACCAGGGCGGCAGCTGGGCAGGAATGTGGATGAGCGCCGCCGGGGACGCGCAGTGCGCCGAGCCCGCCGCCGAGCCCAGCGAGGAGTTGCTGCTCACCGACGACGAGCTGCTCGAGTTGGATGCGGCGCTCGAGCCCAGCCCGCTGGACGCCACCGAGGCCACGCCGGGGCTGCTGCTCAGGGCGAACGAGCCCTTGAGCACCGCGGCGTTGGCGAGCTGCTTCTGGTACTCGGGGTCTGCGGGAGGGCAGGCGAAAAGGCGAGTTAGAAGTGGACGCATCTCACCCAAAAAGAGCTACGAGTGGGCGATGCCATCCCTGAAGACACGGTAAAGGCGATGCGGGCGCCCGCGGGTAGGCCGGCCGCCCGACACGCCTGCGGGCGGGTGGCCTACCCGTGGCCCGCGGGCGCTGGACCGGGAGCCCTCGGCGGAGCCCTCGACGGAGCTCGTGCTCACCTTCGTGCGGAGGGCGCGCCATGTCCCGGTGCGACAGGGTGGGCGGCGACGACGTGTGCAGCCCGAGCTCCACCTCGGTGTAGTAGAACTCTTCCTCGTGGTCGCTCATGTCCTCGCCGTCCTCCCCGTCGGCACCTGGAGCCGGGCCGCCGCTGGCGGTCCGCGGCCCGAGGTGCGAGTTGCGCACATGGCTCTCGATGGATGCGCACGTCGTGGTGAGGTACAGACATCCGGGCCACGTGCACTGGAACACCATCCGGGTCGCCTGCAAGGAGAAGAGCGTCGTGAGCGCCAGCACAACAAAAACAACCCTTCCTTTGTTCCACATTCAGCATTGAGTCAAAACATTTGAGGAGGCGGCACAAATACGTTCGGCTTTTTATTAAGGCAGATAGATGCGTCCAGTGTAATTTCCGGGATCAGCGGTGGTGCGCCAGGGCGGAGGCAAAGGGAAGGGAGGGAGGAGGGGGGGGGGGGGAGTCCAGCGCGCGCTCTGCTCGTCCATCAGGGTGGGAAGTGACGGGACGACGGCGCAGCGATAGGTTATCAATAAGCGCGACGGCCGTCTCGCCCCCGCCGTTGGACAGAAGGGGGTCATCACCGCGCAGCGCGCCCGAGACGAGAAGCATCAGGCTGCCCCCCGTCCCCCTCATCCCTTTCCTTTTTCCTTCTCCGACATAACCCGCACCAAGAGGCAGAGCAAGGAGCCGCTTCCACAACAAAAGCCGCCCGGGCCGCCCGAGCCGAGCGACGCTGCTGCTGTGCGGCTCTGTGTTCTCTGGCATTCCTTTGTTTCGGGTGGAACTGGGCCACCGTATCAGCGAGGGGCGCAGCAGGGCGCAGCCGCCCGCGCCACCCCGCCGCCGGCCGGGGCGAGCCGGGGCGTCCGTATGGCCGCGGGGGCCGCGCTGGGCCCGAGCTGAGTGCCGGCTCGGCTCGGTTCGGCCCGGCGCGACGGG